AACTCTGAGAGGCCAATTAATTAAGAGAAAAAAAACTTTTGAAGTGATAATCAAGCTAGCCCAGTACAGACAGTTTGATAAGAAGTGTGAGAATACTTACAAATTTGTTAGTCTCTAAGGTGCCACAAGTACTCTTGTTCTTCTTTTTGCGGATACAGACTAACACGGCTGCTACTCTGAAACCTTCTTTGTAATTGTTCACTCTCTCTTGTTCTTTGGGCACCTCCTGGCGGGTAGTTTAAAGACGATCAGAGAAGACTGTTCGCCCTCTAGAATGCTAGGTAGAGTAATGGGGCCACAGCATGTGAAGAGAGAGTGCAAGGCTTTGACAGGGGAAAGTGGCGACCCATGACGATGGATGGGTTGTTGTTCTTGACTCCATGGAGGATCCCTGGGATAACATTGGTTGTTGTGTGGAGAATTTTAAGGAATTGTGGATAACATATAAAAGGGTATCTGCTTGACATATGTAGGGCTCACCAATGATCTGACCTCCTGTTGTGGTTTATCTGAACCGAATAACTGAAGATGACATTTCACACACTCTTTTGAGTAGCCCACATGGATTCTACATCAAAAGACAGGATGTATGGCACAAAGCAAACGACAGAGCACTGAAAATTAGGTCAGGCAGTCGTGCCTGCTATCCATGAGACCAGTTAATAAAAATGGCTATTTCTGTATTGTCTTTTACTCAAAGCACTTCAATCAGTCATCCATTAATCCTCAGAACACCCTGTGAGACAGGCAAGTTTTATTGTTATGTTTGTAGAGCTCCAAAAATGAGAGAAAAATGACTCTGGTCCCAAAAGTCTTACAGTAATTATCCTCATGATGAATATACAAAACTCACACACAAACTTGGATTAAGTGATTTGCCTAAGGTAACATAGTTAGTGCTTCATCCAATGTCCATTGAAGTCAAAGACTTCCATTGACTTAAGTGGGCAGTGGATCAGGTCCTTAGTCAGCAGCAGGACTGGGAATATGGCCCAGCACACCTGGTTTACAATCCTTAGTTCTTTTGACAGGGCAAAGTGAGACAGAGACAAAGTGCTGAGAAGTACAAAACTATAAAACGTGCACATTTTGAGCTTGCGTATATTTTTTTTCTTCAGTGCAGGAAGGTTATCGCTGGACACAGCCCTTGATCTGACACGATATCTCCGACATGAATCCAGTAATGTAGTACTTCTGCAAGGCTTGGGCTACCTGGAAATGTTCTACCACATGATGGAAAGAAGAAATATTTCTGATGTCACAGAAAACCTTAAGGTCCATTTTTAATTTGAAAAAAAAATTGTAATTAAATTTTATTTGTAAGGAATTGGGACACATGGAACGAATGCTCAGTTAGTATTTAGAAAGTGTCCTCCTTCTCCTCTTGAAAGAAAAAGAGAAGGAAAAATCCTCAAATTCCTGAAGGATTCTATTTATAAACTAGCCAAGCTCTAAAACACCACATTCCACTCTCTTGTCGTTTGCACATTATCAACTCATGCACTAATGGCCCATGGCTGTGGTTTCTGCTGCTCCATTGCGAGTTGGCCTTACTCATGTTGTTGGAGTTACCCCATGAGTCTGCTGCTGCAGAGTGAGTAGTGTGGTGTCAGGGCTTGCATTCCAGTGGCACTGGGGCCACCTGGCTAATAAGCACAGGAAAGCTCTCCTTGCTTTCCTCTCCCTTCTTTAGCCCCCGCCAATGTTAAGTCAATATAGACTGTAAGATCCTTGGGGCCAATACATAAATAATCTCTGACCTTTGTGTGGGAGGGAGACACAGTGTTCCTATTCACTCTGCATAAAGGCCCATTTAAAAACCTGATCGTTGCCACCTATGTTGTGTTAAGTTAAGCAGAACTGCACTTATCAGATATTTTTGAATGTGATCACAGCTAGCTTAGCTGCGGATGCCTGTGGACATGCTTCGTTACAAAACAGTGTTTTGGAGTAGATACCATAGCAGATTTGAGTTTGACTTCTGAATACTAGAGCTGTAATGAGTGGAATACAGCTGGGTAACTGTTGAAAAGCAGATTTATATACATTTACACAGCACTACATAGATTGTGGCACTAGGGCCTAACTGTGATCTGTTCTCTCTGCAGAGGTACATCCTGCAGCATTTTAAGCTGGTGATTGACAGGCAAACGTGGAGCGATGAGGGCTCAGTCTCTGACAGAATGCTTCGTTCTGATCTCCTTGGGCTTGCGTGTGACCTACAATATCCTCCCTGTATCCAGAAGGCAGACAAGCTTTTCAGCAAGTGGATGGGATCTGGTGGGACGTTAAAGTAAATGGCTTACCTGCTTTCTAACATTCCTTTTCATTTAGGCATCCTGTACTGGAGTTTAGTTTGCTTTTCTAGCAAAGGTTTTACAGGAAAGTTGGAATAGGAAACTTTTTGTAATCTAGAATGGGAAAAAACATACCGAATAATCTTTTCCTCTAGTATAGGGGTCTCAAACACGCGGCACACGGGCTGCATGTGGCCCGCAGAGTTATTTCCTGCAGCCCGCCATAGGCGCCGACTCCACCAGCAGTCAAGCTCACCTCAACCCCGAGCGCGCCGTGTCCCCACTCCTCTGCCTACCTCCCAGTGCTTCCCGCCATCAAATAGCTGCTTGGCGGCGCTTAGGACTTTCCAGGAGGGAGGGGGGAAGGAGTGGGGACGCGGCGCGCTTAGGGGAGGAGGCGGAGAAGAGACGGGGCCGAGGTGGGGATTTGGGGAAGGGGTTGGAATGGGGGCGGAAGAGGTGGGCCTCATGGAAGGGGTAGAGTGGGAGCGGGAGCAGGGCAGGGGCTTTTGTATAAAAAGGTGTCAGTGATGTGGCCCTCGGGCCAATGTACTAGTCCTCATGTGGCCCGCATGGTGATGTGAATTTGAGATCCCTGCTCTAGTATGTGTGTGTGAGACTTACAATATAGTATCAACAAATAAGTTAGTTAATATTAATTACTTTTCAGCTGCTTGCTCCTTTCTACTGACTTAGCTCACTGTGCTTTCTCTCCTGCTTTTTCAGTGCAGTCTGGGCCTCTGGATTATTTGTTTGTCCTGACTTGAAAGAGCCATATATCCATATAGCTAAAAGAAAATCAAAGTTTAGGGCTCGGCTGTGACTCTTCAGGTCAGTCCTGCACTGGTGGAAGGGCAGAGGTGCACCACATTAGTAACTCTAGGAGGCACTGTGTCTGAGGCACAGTGCTGCTGGAGCTCCAGGGAAGGGATCCACTGCAGCACCCTTTATGAGAGTGCACTGTACGAAGTTTAGCCCTCCTAGTTCCTTTGGACACAGCAGAGGGTGTGTTGGGCCATGACCCCAACCCCTTCTTACCCACTTTGGAGAACAAAGTTCTGGCAGTGGCACTAGTCTCATGCATTCAAAAGTTTGAATGAGTGCAAGGTCTACCATTGTTCCCAACTTCTGCATGGATGTGCAAGTGAGAGGCTCATCATGCATTCTTCCTATCCCCTCTTGCACCTGGGGCTGAATACAATCTTTTTCTTACCATGCTTGACTTTACTGCACTAGGTGGGACAAAAAAATTCCACAGGCATGGTACCATGGTGAATATAACTACTAAATCTAACTAGCCAGGTACTGTACAGCCCCCAACACCACCGTAGGTGAGCACCATACACTATAAGAAGTTGTAAATGTGGATTTTTTAACTCATAAGGATATCCACTGTCACTTGCTTCATTGCTCATTCATTGGAGACAACTTGTTCACCTTAGCCTCTAAGGATAGAACCAGAAACAATGGGTTTAAACTGCAGCAAGGGAGGTCTAGGTTGGACAT